TAAGAGACAGTCAGTGAGAAAACTGCTATGAAAACACTTCACTGGGAATGTTGCTGTTTAAACAGCCTGGAAATGAGTAACTTCAGTCCCAGCGAGCTCATCCTGCTGCCGAGTGCAGTGCCCTGAGAGCGAGGATGCTCAGGTGCTTACCTCTTCCCCCTCCTCAGAATGGGTAGATAACTGGTCATGTTGAATGATCTCAGCATCCTCCTCCGTTGGGCCATTGCCCACCCGGATCCCACCAAAGTTGTGCGTGCCCTGACACATGCAGAAAAGAAAGAGCAAAGTGTTGTTTGGGTTTTAGTGCAAAACTGCAGGTTTCTCATGACTTCATGTGCAGCAGCAGCTCACAGAGGAAAACAAAATATTAAATATTAAGGCCCAGGTTAAGGCAGGTATTTCCCAGCTCGGATGGGAAAGGTGCTGATTCCTGCTGGGGCTGGGGAAAAAAAAAAAAGTCTGTCTGAATGAATCTTTGGCACATTTCTACTGTGTTACTGCAACCCTGAGGAAAATAAAGGCAAATCTCTCAGAGATCATTTGCTGGCTCTGATATGCAACAGCCCATGTCTTCCCCAGCATGGCTGGCCAAGCACTGACACACCACTGCTGGGTCCTGGAGCAGGTCACAGAGCAGAACACGCTGACACAAACACACACACACTCGCTCCCACCAGCCCCAGGCACACCAACATCACACAGGAAACCAGACCTTCCCTGCTTGGAAACTACCTTGTGCAAGCAGCTCTTTTTACAGACATTTGTTCTGACATTCAGCATCTGACCCTCAGCTGCACCTCCAGGACTCAAAGGGAAAAGAACAACCCGCAGACTGAGCTGAAACGTTGGAACCAGGAGCAGTTCCCACCTGACCCCTGTGAGTCTGATCCCCAGAGAAGGAAACTCCAACACCACAAATAGAAACAAACCCTGTGTCTAGCTTCAGCACTGTCCTGGGTCACCTGTGACATGGGATGTGACCAAGCTGACCCACCACACCCAGACTGCAGAAGTTCAGGGATGCCCATGCAGACCAAGGAGGCTGAGGGTCCTGTGACCTGACACTTGCACAGACCTGCAGAACAGCTGCTCAGAGTTCTTTTACCTCATTTGTTCTTATAAGCCTGCTTTTATTTTAGGCTGAACTACAAATTTGTCCAAAATGCCAGATGCGAATTAAAGATTTTGTCAGGTTTCTAAAAACAAATTTGGTAGGTGTTTATACTGTGAATAGAAATAAATTAAAAGAAACCCCCACATTTACAACTAAGACAATGCTTTTATTAGGATTTTCAGCATCTCTGAAACACCAGAAGTCACTGATGACTCATGTCAATATTCTATTTATGTATTTCCAGCCTGTGTGAATTTGCACTTCTGCAGCTTTTCCCTCGCACCTGACTCGTATCCATTCCCTGTAAACCATCCAACCTAAACACGGCTCCGACAACTCCAATTATTTACTTGATCCTTCTAAGCACACCTCACGCAAGACCTCCCCTTGCAGTTTCCTGATGGAGATGCACTTCATACGCTGGATGGATCATGCACAAAAGATCCATTTTCGTGCCTGACATTTCCGTGAGGAAACTAAAATGTCACGAGAGAAACAGCTAAACCGTCCCTTCCGGCACCTCTGGCACGTGGAGAGCCTGATGTGCTTCACACAGTCAGTGAGATTCACACTTTCTAGTCAGCCAGGCAGCATTCACAACTAAAACCAAGCTGAAATAGGCAGCACTGGGGACCAAGTTCTGGGGGCTGCCACAATCCTCACCAGAAAGCTCCGGCAGGAAAGGGTCGTCTCTAGGCTTAGACACATAAGTTGAAACAACTGCCACTGAGAGGCTTGTTTGTACACAACCATTTCATAACAGTTTCAGGTCAAACTGTGTACAAGGCAGAGGTGTCACAAATCCAGTGACTACTGACAGAGAGTTGCTGGAGGCCATCACATCACCGTGTGTTTGGGAACATGTAATGCAAATAGAAATGCTGCCCTGAGAAGAATCCTAATCTATCTTAAACAAATATGCAAGAAAAGGAAAAAAAGGGGAACTTAACCTGGGGGGATGTGGTAGCAGGAATTCCCGTGCTGCTCTGCATGTTGGATTCAAGCAGCACTCCTGCAAGGAAGTGTTTCTGTGCACACACAACTATCATCCTCCAGCCTGGGTGTTCATCCAGAATGTATCAATTTGGCTGAACTTTGCTCTTTCCAAGAGAAAGTGTTTTTCACCCTAAAGGTGCACTTGTCATTCCCTTACGATACTCAGATACATTCCATGCTCCCTTGATAATCAGACAGAAAGCCAACTCCCATCTGTAATGCATCAGGCGAGTTTGAAGAGCACTCACTGTTGCAGCCGCTGCTGCCTCGAGCGCCTGCGCGTTCGTGCTGCCCTGGGCCTCCTCGGGCTGCCCTTCCTGGGGGTGGATGGAAGAAGAGAGAGGGAGGAGGAAGAAAACAAAAAGAGAAAGGGAGACGAATGGAGGGGACATGGGAGGATGAAAGATGGTCAGAGAAGGGAGAGGGAGTGTCCGTAACTGAACTGATCTTTGACTCGCTGCACATCCTCACAGCTCGGCACGACATGCAGGGAGAACCCACACGAGCGCCACACTCCTGCATCTCACACACAGGTACTTCACAGTGCAGCTGGAAACCTACAGAGCACGCCAGCAGACCACCTCTCACGTGACTGTGGAAGTCTGTTTTTCCTTTTAATTGTTATTGTTTACCATCCAAACTGCTTTAACGAAGATAGCTGAGAAGTCTGCGAACCAAGCCCATCTCTGTTTCTCATCAATGGGAAACTGCCAGCCTAGCCCAGGCACAGAAGTGCATCCAGCAGCCACTGAGATTGTTCCTAAACCAGCTGCTGAAGCCCAAGCCAGAGACACTGTTCTGATCACTACCAACATAAAGGGGTTTTAAAAGCAGGTTTGATGCTGGATCCAGATCTGGGAAGCAGGCAGGCAACACTCTGTCTCCACTAACACCTACCTCCCTGTATGCCCAGGAATATGCAAAAACACTTTACAAGTCTCAATGCAGTGTGAACCCATGTATCCAAGCTCGAGATGGAAAACACAGCTTTTAAACCAAAATTAGTTTTCATGTGGAAAATATAAGGGGGAGTCACCCACCAAGTGTTTTCTCCTTAAATACTGCTGGCGAAGGACCAGGGGTTTGGCTACCAGCATCCACGGCACACACAGCAATGCCACGACCACGAGGAAGCACTGGAGCCCCTTCTGCAAAAGAAACAAGTCTCAGGTGATTCAATGGCAGCCACTGCTCAAACACACACAGAACCCAGCGAGCACGGCTGAATTCCCAGCATGTGGATGCTGCACTACGTCTCTCTTCTGGGAACAGCAAGACGAGCTGTACTTAAGGCCTACAGCTGCCCCCACTGACTGAATACAGCATTCAATGCTGAGACTGGGTTAGATTAGGGAAAAATCCAAAAGATCCTGCAGTGAATGAGAATTTGACAGATGTCTGATAGTGCTAGAAGGAAACAGTGTTTGTGTCTGAGCTAAGCTGAGGCACTACATTGCAGAGACTGGGCAATACTCCTAATTGCATTCCACTATTAATCAGGATCTAAATGTTCTGGAGCCACAGCTGACATGCTCAGACTGATCTAAATTCCTGGTATAAGGATTATTCCTTCCTTCTTCAACTTCACGTATTATCAGCCTTCAGAAACCCTCTGTCCCAGAGGAAAAATGTTTCACACTTCATTTCACAATTATCAGGAGGTCAATGAAATGCTCCAATATCACAAAGCATCTCTGATCCTGTTTTAGCAAGAGCACGCACCTGCCCACTATAAAGCATCTTATTACTGGTATCCTCATAGGAGAACAGAAACATGTTGATAAAGTGTATTAAGAGGCTCGGTGCTTCCTTCGATGTGTGAGCATCATAGGCTGTCCACTTGTAAAAGATGAGAATAACAAGGTATCCGAAGAGGGAGGACATGAAAATCATTTCTGGGATAAATCCAAGGTATATGTTCAGTGGCTTCTTAAAATAGCTACAGGGAAAAAAAAAAAAAAAGAGAGTTTAATATTACATTTCGTTAGAATTAGGGTAAAAGCTTTTAGTGAGAGCATGAAGAGTGTCTTTGGAACGACAATGCAGGGACTCAGCAGCTCAACAACAGCTGGGCCAGAGCACAGGAACTGCCTCACACACACACAGTTCCACACACAGCCAGAAACAACTGCACTGCACCTTCCAGCAGGAGGTGAGGGCTGACAGGCTCCAGCATCTTAAACCAACACACATGACACCCAAAGACGTTCCCCTCACCATGAGAAAAACAGAGCAAAGCACTTACATGTGGTTGAGGAGACTCAAAGCGACACCAAAGAGCATCTGGAAAATGCCAAGAATCACAGACATCTTCATCTTAAAGGAATTGAGGAAGGCCAGCTTATTGCTGGCAATATTCCAGATCTGTGAAAAACAACACCCAGTCAGGCAAACACTGGGGAAAGGAAAACAGGAGAAGAAAAATGCTCCCTTTAAGCTAAACAGTATGAATCAGCCAGGAAATGTCAGGCTGAAAGAGCAGGTTTTTAAAGCTGTGTTTGTCCCACAGATATCTTTTGGGGAAATGAGCAGACAAGGTTTTCTGCTGGGAAAAGTCTCACAGTGACTGAGCCCACCATTGAGCAGGAATCAAACCTGTTTTGATGGGAGCTCAAAGCTGCAGGAAAGAGGTGGCTGTAGAGGAAGGATGAGCTCTTACCGGGTCAATGCCAAAGGGGTAGGGCCCACCAAACACTCCCTGGATAGCAGGATCCAGCTGCAGCAGGGGGGTGGTCTCCAGCAAGGCATCTCTGTTTGGGAATAACATTACACAAACATTAACACAAGCAATGCCATCCTCTTTGTGTAAAAACTAACAACACTCTTCCCTTGTGAGAGCAAGGACTAGCTCAAATTGAGAGAACTTTAAGGTTCCTATGTGGTCCTAGAGATTTTCCCAAATCAATAAAAAACCTGTTTCTCCACCTTTTACTCAGTATCACTAAGAAGACAGGTGCAGGGGACAGGAATCTTGCAATGTCTATGAGGAGGAAGGTGAGAAACTGCATCTTTAAAAATTTGCTGGGGGGAAATAAAAACTGTTTTGAAACTTGGTAGATATCGTCCCATTCACAGCCCTCTTCCAATTCTATGTGAGACCGAGTTCAGAAGTTTTTGTTTTCCTGAAGTGGGAGGACAATGGGGAAGGACAAGTCACTTGCTTCTCACTGTCTGTCTTTATGTAGTTTCCAAAGGTTTACTCACGACCAGTTGCCTTTAGTGAACATTGGCCGGACGCTCCACGAGGAACCGAACATGTTGAGGGACTTGGAGAAGCAGTCGTTGTAGATGAGGCCTGTGTATGTGGAGAACAGCCCCATCAGCAGGATGATGTACCGACCACTGAACACCATGTTGAACATCTAGTGTGAAAACACAAAAGGAACAAGGAAGGTCCATGAGAACACAGAAGGTCCCTCCTAAAGACAAACCAGGGAACTCAGTCTGTTGTAGGACAAACATCAGCTGTATGGACTGAGAGCCCAAAGTCTCTATTTCCCCTTGGCAGGGATTAAAGGGAGCAAGAGGGAGCATGGCAGCACAGAATCTGATAACCAGGATAAACGGGTGGTGTGGCTGTCCACAGGGAACCTGGGATTAGCTGGAGAGGATAAACTGCACTGCACAGCCTGATGCAACCCCCAGCTGGCAGCGTGAGTTTGCAACCAGGCAGCACAGACCCTGTCAGCCTCCTCCATGCTCTGCCAGTGTATCTCTGGCTCAGCTCCTGTCAGCCCTGAGCAAGCAAATCCCACCCTGAGCAGCAAATAGGAAGAATTGAGGAGATAGGATATGTACATACAGAAATTGGGGTGATTTGTTTACACCAGCTTATCTACTACTTGATAATTTTCTGCAGACAACAGAAAGGAATAATTTCCTATAAATATCTGAAAGAAAAAACAAAGCAACTCAATACTATTATGAAACTACACTATTCAAGTCCATGCTCCTCAGGCTTCCCAGCCTATTCACGTGTTTCACAAATTCCAAAGGAGGAATAATGCACATTGTCAACTCCAGGGGAAATGGATGGGAGTAAACCAAGCAGCAACTCCTTGTCTGAAATGCAAATCTCAGCATGATCTGCCACTTCACCTCATTGTCACTCTTCTGGGACAGAATCCGGCTTTCCCTCACCACCATCCAGACAGCAATCAGAGTCATCAGGATTCCGTGGCCAAAATCCCCAAACATCACAGCAAACAGGAATGGGAAGGTGATGATGGTATAGGGTGCTGTAAGGGAAGAGAGATGACAGTCCCAGGGCACTGTCTGTGAGTCAGCCCAGATTCACCATGGTATAATTCAGGCAATTTAGCAATAAAATTCCACAGCTTCCCCTCTGCTTCTGAAAGCTGTTGAGTATTAGAAATTCCCACACGGGTCAGACAATACAGAGAAACATCATTACTAAAAAACTGAGGTGGATGTCTTGGACTGTTCCAAGTCCGAATTTACCTGGATTTATTTCCCGATATGTCCCAATGCCGTAAGCATCAACAATGTTTTGAAAGCCAGAAGTAAACTTATTTGTTTTGTTGTAGGTGGGTGGGGTCTGGTTAGTTTGCATCCTGTTTAAAATAGACGGGACGGTGGATCCGCTGTGCTCCTGTTTGAAAAAAGCCAAAGGGAAGATCAGTAAACCCACCCTTGGAGCACTGGAGGACAGTCTGACATGGCTCTCCTGCTGGCATTTGGAAAACTGCAAGCTTGCACGCTTGCAGTGTGCTTGCACAATGAGACACTGGAGCAGCTGAGGAAGGCTGCCAGGATTCCACTGCTCTCCACTTTGTGTGGCAGGCGGAGAACCACTTGGAGTAAGGGTGAACGTTCTCTGCGTACGACAGACAAGAAAACTCATGAAAGAGTTTGCTTGTTTTTTTAAAACAGCAAGTGAAAGGACTTCAAGACACTCAACTCTCTTGTCTATCTGAGCAGAGGGTGAGCTTGACAACATCCTGGAGAGCTCCTGTATCCAGACATCAAGACTACAGAGCACAGCCACGATAACTAAATGGACCAAAGGACTCACACACTGGAAAGTCCTCACCAGTCCAGCATTCTCCTGAACTTAAACCTTTACACAACATATTTGTTACATTTATGTATAAATCATGATTCCTGCATATTAAATAAACTGTCCTCTGGGAGGGCTGATTCCAGCAGCCCAAGGGGATGGTTTTCAGAGGCTCACAATTTGGAAAAACCAATGAATCCATGCAGTGCTGCCACAGTTGACGGGCACAGCAGCTACTCACAGTGCCCCTCCTGAGAGCAAACTGGATGGAATCGAGGTCAGCAACGGGACACCAGACTTCAGCAATCAAGCACTTCTGTGTCACGTCGATGTTGCACAGGTTCAGGGTGTGGTAAATCGCCTTCATCTTCCGCACTTTGATGAACCAGACACGGATGTTTTTAGCAGCTGCCTGCAAAACCCTCTGGCGATGATCCTCTGTTTGGTTCAGCACCTTTCAGAGATGCAGGAAAAAGGTGAGGCCAGGTGCACAAACTAGACAAGCCTTACCCACAGAGGGTGAACCACGAGCCCGCTCCCCTACCCCACACACAGGCTGCCCCATGCCTGAAGTCCATGCTGTAATCCCCATGTTAATTAGTTCTGCTAAAGGGCCTAAACACTTTTTCCAGGGATGCTTTCTGATTACTTTCCTCCTCCAGCCCCAAGGTCAGTGGTTGTTTCAAACAATGGACTATGCCAAGGTCACAGGGAAAAATTATACCTCCACCCAGGTTAAAAGAGCAGAGAAGAGCTCTGCAAGTGAGGGGTTTGCTGTTTTGCAAAAACACACAAATTACCCTGAAAAACTTGTTTACTGAAGGGAAAAGGAGAAAGTGCTTCCTACTGAGGCTGTTTTTCAACTGGAACATATCGAACTCAGGCCAAGTCAGATTTCCAGAGTGGAAAGTCTTAGACTGTAGGGAAAGTGAGGACACAGAGCACATGCAGCTTTGAATCCTCCCAGTTACATTGGTTCTGAGTTCTTGTCTACTTTCAAATTGCTGAACAGCCGTGCTACACAACTCCCACCTTGAGACAGTTTCTGTATCAAATAAGCAGGCCAAATTCAACTCTTTTTCCTTTTAATTTCTAACATAGTCTTAATTTTTGCCTCAAATCCCTTAAATCCTTCTGCATTATTACATACTGCCTTTCTTCCTTGAAGCAAGCACCAGGTATTTTCAGAACTGGCACCCAGGAGATCTGGGTGCTGGTTACTTTTTACCAACACTCAGGCTGCTGCACAAGAGATTAGTTGTAAAGCAGAAGCTCTTCAGGACAGCACAACGTGAAAATATGAAGACAGGCAGAAAAAAGAAGAGCTAAGTTAATGTTAGCATTGTTATCTCAGCTTGGAAAAACGTTTAAATGTTTTCAAAGTACTTGCAGATGAAACAGACAATTACACAACATGCTCTCAGAGCCTTAGCACACAGGATCTCCTCACACACACATGTTCCTCTTTGCTCCCTGGTATGGAGTTCCCTGTACTAACTTGTATACCATGAACTGCTCAGCCCTACAGAAAGATCAAACCACCCCCTTCCAAACCCTGACACAGAAACAATAGAGCAGTCTCCAAACATCTCTCTTGCACTGCTGAGCTGCTGCTCTCAAGCCACCTGGAGCTGAAAACAAGGTCATGTAATAGGGTCAAAATTCCTCCTGTTTTAATAGGATGCAGAGAAGTTTTCAACTATATCACCAAATAAAAGAAGAAAGAAAGGGCATTGACCCCAGTTATTTTACCATCTGAAGATCATCAATTCTGGTATTGACACCAGAAGCCATTTCCTTACGCTCCTGGGGTGTTTCTGGGCATGGATAGAGGGAGGCCCGGAACCTGGAAGACAGGGAAGCACTTCAGTGACAGAGATGGAAATAAGATCAACTGGTCAGGGCTGAGCCTGAGCTCAGAAATAAAGCCAGAAGCACCTTAAGAGAAGTTTCTGATCAGCAGAGACTGCCAAGCAGAGCTCCAGGCTCTAAATCACTGGAGTGCATAAGTTTGCTTTAGGTCAAAACAGAAGCTGTGCTAAAGAAAACGGAAGTGAGAGAGAATCCTCTGTTCCCTGTGCTCCCAGTGTCTCAGGGCACAGTCACGAGGCTGGCCAGCCAGTGCAGGGGAATGCTGTCTAGCAGCAGCTGCTGCAAGAAGCATTCACTGTTGTCTCCCCTGTGAGAACATCCCACTGATATCCCACCAGGTCTGTCCCAGAGTTCAATACTCCCTTCCTTTTGGCATTCCCTAGCACAGCAGTTGTATACTTTTGAGCATTACAGGTTGTGGAGTGGCAAGTTTGACTGTAAAATATGTTTCAGTTACTTATGGCACATTTCATTTGCTGTCAAAATATGTGCTCCTGCAGCCACTGTGAAATAAGGAGTTGAGAAATATCAAGTCATGTCAATGTTAAAATAATTGAGAGCTGCCCAGCTGTCGGACTTTCATACCCTTCACAGATCTTCTTGACTCTGTTCTTCAGCTGGTCACCTTGGAAGAAGATGATAAACACAGACTTGTGCACATAATCCCCCTAGAACAGAGGAAAGAATTGTAGAAATTAGCATGACAGCTAATTGCCAGAGCTCTCCTTTTCCTTCCACTGAGTCTGTACATCAGAGCTCAGATGTGCACAGTGGGTCAAGAATGTACCTGAGTAACACTGAAACAGTCACAAGGAGAGCGATTTTCTCAGCCTGTGTACAGAATACCTGCATTATATTTGTGTTTACTGAAGCAAAATGTCCCAGATTATCCATTATCGATTCTATGCAATACAATAAAAGGGAAAACCTGGGAAGATCTCCAAAAACAATGGAGATGCAGTGAAATATTTATCTGCACTTAGTGCAGTCAGCTCATCTACAGAATCAAGCCAAAAGCTACAGAGTGAATGAAGATAAGATGAAGGGGAGTTTAACCACTCCCTTCCCAGGGAGGCCGGCGGCACATTCCTTGCACAGCTGTGTCCGTGGGGGCAGCCAGGGCCCCTTTCCTGCATTTGTTGACAAGTTATTGTTCTACCTTACTTAGGAAATTTTAACATAATGTTTCAGGAATAATTACATTAGGTGTAACCTCAATTTAAGGAAGTTCTGCACAATAAGAACAAAGTCTCTCCGAGCAGACAGATGATTCCACAGGTCAGCTACCAGTGGTCGGAGGGACAAGGGAACACATCAGTCTTTTGTGAGAAAGAGAGGTGTTACTGAACTTCACCTCCTGGGTCTGTGTTCCAGGGCAGCTCCCATGCAGACCCCACACAACCTTTATTGGGTAAGAGCAAGGGTTCCCCAAGTTTGGGAAGTGCCCACTGGTTTGAGTGCAGAGGACACTGGATGTAAACCAGGCCCAATCACAATGTTTACTTTTCTATCTTTACTAAATTTATAGATATAAATTTTATAATTATATAATATATAATTATAATTTTATATCATTTACTAAATTATTTCTATTTTTACTAAAGCCAACAGTTCTCAGGCAGATGTTTAAATTATCGAGTAGCAAATTAAGAAAAAAGGAAAAGTCCAAGTTCAGAGTAAATGAGCTTCAGATCTGATACACTGCCTGTGTCCCAAAGAGCCTCTTCCAAGGAGGATCACCAGTCATACAGAACTGTGTACACACAGGAGCTGCACTTGTAGTTTGGGCCAGAGAAGTCACTAGGACCTGCTGCAGTCCATGTTTTGAGTTGTTTTCCCCTTTTCAACAGCACTGCCCATCCAGCCTGCTATTTTTGTTTCACTAAAAAGGGAAAACATTTGTCGCTGAAGCTCAGAGGCTGCAGGGAAGGGACGTGACCCAAACGTTTGCTGCAGGGAGCTCAGAGGGACACAGGCTTCCATCTACAGACCCACAGCTGTTACACATCTGAGGCTTCTGCTGCTGCACCCGACGGTCCCTGTTACCGTGACGGGATCCTCCAGCGGGTTCTCGATCTCGGCCTGGCGCAGGAACACGTTCCCGCGGCACACGCGCCACAACATGCGCTCGAACGTGGGGATGCGCTCGCGGTTGATCACGCCAGCCACGAACCTGCCAGGGGACAGCACAGACGTGAGGGGCTGCACCCAAACCCGCCCCAGAGCCTCACACCCAGCACACCACGGCAACTGGGGGGTCAGCATCGCATTGGAGAGCTACAAAAAGCTTGTTTTAACACTAGTTCTTTAAGCAAACCGGAAGGTCCTCTAAAAATACGGAGGTAACACACAACAAACCAACTGCACAGGCAGTGGGTTTTTTTGTAAAAATAAACCACTGCTTATAGAAGAAACAAATGCATTTAGATATACAGTTTCTAGGCTCCATTTCCCAGGGGTTCTGGTACATCGGCTGCAAGGGTTAGAGCAGCCACGGCTGCCAGTGATTGTGCCCTGGGCTCATGCTTCAGACCTCACCAGCCCAAACACCCACATCCAGACAAAGAATTACACACACACAAGGAAGCCTGGAAGCAGCTGATAAAGAGGATATAGAACTATGCACTTATTTCAGAGCATTATGTGCTCGTGGTAGTTACAGCTTTCAACAAAGCTGTGAGAGTTCAGGAGGTCTCAAAAACAACCAGACAGATTTACATGGAACAAACTGGGATAATTTGCTGGTGCAGAGAAACATGTGAAGCACAATCACGAACTGGGAAGTTAATGTAGGCAGGACAAGAGCAGAGAGCAACAGCTGGTTTTAGATCAGTTTTCATCTGCCTGGGGTGGAAAGTTCCACAGCTGTGATCAAATCATTGCTGATTCCACAGGCTCATAATCCCCAATCCAACAACCCCAATGCCAGGTCATAGCCCAAACTGCCATTACCCAAGTCGGAGTGGGGCACCTCTTCCCATCTCACTCGGCTCCAGCAGTGAAGAGGATTCTTCCAACAGGTCTGGATCCGCCATCTGCTGATGATGCAATTCAGCCTGAATTCACAAATCAATTAATATCTAATGAAACCAGTTAGTGGCATGCAGGGAATGAGGAGCCAGGAGACAGTTGGGGGAGACAAAGAAAGAAAAGAAGGAAGAAAAGAAAGAACAAACATAAGACCGCAAAAAGAGGAACGGGATGACAGAAAAGACAGCAAGAATTACACATGGAAGGAGAAAAACAAGAGGAAAAGTGAAATGGCTCAGCAGGGCTTCCATACAAGAAAGGTTTGAGGATTGTTGCAACAAAGGGGTTGGGGGATTTATAAGTCTGAAGAAAGGCAGAATTAAAAAAAAATTTCAAGTTTTAAGTACAAGTGATGTTCCCAAGAACCATTTTTAATGGCACAAACCAGAGAAACACACTTGACTTTCATATTTCCCCAGATATTAAATTAATTTATCCTTATTCACCGTATGTCTCACAACCAGACACACCAGATGGGTTGCTTAGGGCAGGCTGGTGATGAGGCTCTTGGACAGCCAGGCATTAAAACAGGACAGTTTTACACCGTCCCTCATTGCAACTCATTTGCATGCTAAAATTCTTAGGAATACAGCTTGTAAGTGTCAGCAATTCAGGTCAAGGACGCTCAAATCACATCACTCTTAATGCACCGTCTTCACACTTGTTCAACCCCACCTCACACTTAGTTTTACCTCTGCAGCTTACATAATGAAATGCCAAAAATTACAGTTCCTGAGCACGACCAGAGGGCCCAAGTCTACCCTCTGGGGTACACAGGAGGTCTTCCCCATAGGGCCATCAAGGGAAGTTGCTGAAACACAGTGGAAGACCCAAGGCCACGCCAGATGCACACACACAGTGCAGCCTTGCAAAAGTGCAGTGACTCAGCCCCAGCTTCTCTATTTGGGCCACAGTTGCGTCAGAGTTTTAGTGAAAACGTCTCCAACACTTTACTTGTTTGGTAAATAAAAGTGTTTGTCATATACAAGAGTTTTTGCAAGGCTGACACCCAATGCAGCTCAATTGCTTGTACAAACACTAGCTGCAGCTTACCCACATCACACAAGGGAGGGAGCCCTTCATTCAGCTTGGAAAGGCAACACAAGGAACTCCTGGTCCTTTCAACTTTAAGGCAACTTGTTGCAACACCAAAAACTGAATGAAAATTTTGCTTCATAGAGGACACAACCAAAATAAGAAAGTTTGGTACCCCAAAAAGAAACACACAGACCAAACATCCTGGTGATTGTTTGACATCTCAATTTCAGGACACTGAAGAACAGTAAGTTACAATTTTAAGAGGCTTGTATTGTATTTACACTCATCAAGACACTGTCTGATAATTTTTTGTGAAGTGTACTACGTTTTAGCAGGTGAAACATGAAAAAGGAAGGCCAGCACACATGACAACTTTGGATCTGCCCCACCTGAGAGAATTTGTTATAAATTTTTAACATTACCTTGGTCCCTCTGGGCTATGTGTCCTATATTCAGGACAAGTCCTGCTTAGAGGGGATGGAATTACAAAACAAAACAGTTTAGAATAAATGTAGGTTAGACCAGTTTTACTAAAATATTGAGACTATGTGCAAATGGAAGAACTATCCAGCTCCAACGTGGGAAAACAAAGTTCTGGGAAATTTACTTTGAATACGAGTTTTTGCCAGCACCAAATAAAATGTCAAAGTTATTGCGGAGTGCTTTAACTACATCAGGTCATTCAGGATTGGAACTCCCCTACATTTCCATGCCAGTAATCAAGAAGCAGAGCTTTCCCTATTGAACATTTTTAAATTGCTTATTGTTCCCCTGATCAGTACCCAGATCAGCACCCTGAATCTCAAAAGTGGTTCATTTTCCCCATTTCTTGATTCCAGTCCTGCCCCGTAACAGCTCTGGATGCCCAACACAACCCAATACAATTCAAGCCCCTTCCAGGTCACAAAGAACAAAAATCAGTGTTCACAAGAACTTAAAAGGATTCATGTCACCATCTAACAATTAACCCAGAGCCAGACAGAAGTGACAGATGCAAAGCAGATAGAGAAAAGCAGATGGCAGAAGAGTTAGAGGGAGGAGGAGGGGACTGCATGCCATTAACCGTTACTTTTCCAGTCTTCTTTTACGCTCACACTCAAGGAAAAGCCCTCAGAGAAATCTCTCCAGCTCATACTGTTCTTCATAAGCAAAGACAAGAAGACTGAGAAAAGGAGCATAATCATCAACATGGTGTGTTGGAACAAGAAATGGCTTCTTGGGCTGGAATGGTCACAGGAAGAACAGGGGAACATTTTGCCACCCACCCTCCCCCTGTGCTCAAACTCCGGAGAGGGAACACCAAGCATGGAGGAATTTGGAGAGCCAGCCATTTCTTGTGCAACTCATTACTATGAATAACACAATCTTAATTACCACTCATTGAAGTCTTCAAGTGTTGAAGGTGCTGAGCAATGGCAGTCTGGGGAAAGGGAGCATGGGCCACTCTGGGATGGTGAGCAGAAGCACCAGGCACACGCCCTGGGCTGCTCAGGGCTCTCACTTGCCTGTTTGCTGAGCACAGTGTGAACTGAGACAGGTTTAAACTGTCCACACTTATGTTCTACTGAACATCACCCATGAGATGTTCAGCTTGCTTTTACATAGAGCAGCACATGTTATTTGGTATATTTTATTACTAGAGAAAACCTTATCAAAGAGGAGCAGAACATATCTAAGCTCTCTGTGGCCGGTTCATGTAAGGTTGCCATGAGCTCCCTTCTGCGGGTGACCTGACATGGACTGTTTAGAAAATTGATTTTCATCTTTAAACTTAGTATGATCAACCTGCACTTGAAGAAAAGCAGTGGGCAGCTCTCACCAGAGAGGACAGTAATTAACAAGGTCAGGTTGGATGGGGCTTGGAGCAACCTGGTCTAGTGGAAGGTGTCTCTGCCCATGGCAGGGGGTGGAAGGGAAGGAGGTCTAAGGTTCCTCCCAATCCTTACTAGTTTGGGATTTATTCTTGATATAAAAGTGCTCAGGACCAGCTGTACCTGATTTTACTTAATACTCAGAACAGGCAGTAGCACCTTAACACAGCAAAGTAATAGATTATCAGGGTAATACAAGTGTCCCTTGGACAAACAGGAAGTGAACATTCAACACTCGAAGACGACGGTTTTTTTGCACTGAAATCAACCCCACGACCCATCAACCCTCACACCAGCAGCAGTATCTGTGTCAGCAGTGACTACGACTGGTGGTGGCACAGGACCAACCTCGGTGCCTGAACAGGCAGCATCTTGTGCCAAAATACCAAGAAACAAACCGTTAGATCAATGGCCTGAAGCGTGCAGGAGCCCAGCTCCGCTCGACAACGGCCCTCGTAAACACCAGGAGCCACTTCTGTCAAGAACTCTTTGATCAAACCCTGGAATCAGAGGAAACAGGACAACTACTCGGCAAAAATATGTCCTGAAAAACACACAGGAGCTCTCTGGGAAGACTGCCTAGACAAGGGTTGTGTCTTCTCCCAAGCAGGATTTATGTCCGTGCCATGAATGACATTGGAGAAGCTCCTCTCAGATCCAGTGAAAGCTGCCAGTTCCTGGCCCAGCTGATAATTAACAAAATGTCAAAGACTCTATATGGCAGCTTTGCTCCGGAACTGACCTCTGAAACCTTCAGGGTTTGATCAAAGGCTCAATCAATTAATTAATCTATTACTTCAGAGGACTTTAAATTATGACCCTGATTAGTCTCCACATAACAGTTCAAAGGCTGAAGACAAATTCAGCTTGATTTTAACTCCTCTGCATGTGCACCAAAGAGACTCCAACCCACTTGGGACAGTATGCACTGTAGCACCAAACTTCGGGGCTGTTGATGTGCTTTAAAAAATGCTCATGTCTTAACTATTTTACACAATTTTTAAACAAATCATTGCTTAACTAGAACAAACCCAAACCAGCATTGTAGGAGGTAAATCATGGGTAGCTGTGTGTTCTGCATGAAAAACGGAAAACAATTTGAGAAGCTTTCTTAAACAAAGCATAAAATGATGCTGCTACCCAAAACAGCAACTGAAATATATCTGAGAATAAAAATGGTAATTTCTAGAAGAAGAACCAGCTCCCCAAGTGTTAACCCCCCCCCCGGTATTCTGACCTCATCAAAAAACTGCTGAGTTTTACGCAGTATAAATTTTAATTCTGTCAGCTCCAAGAAGTTTTTCTTCAGAGCCTCCTGGTTGGTGTTGATTTCTTTAAGCTCGTTTTCAATTTTCTCAAAGTTTGCCTGCAAGACGTGAAAAGAGAAGGAAAAGGGGTTTAAAGCAATTTGATAAATAAGTGCTGTTCAGTCTAGCATTGAACACGGAAGCAGATGAGATACTTCACATCCCCACCTAATTTCTATGGAATTACAGGTGTGTCTCCACAGTGTTGTGGCACAGATCCAGATTTGCCACATTCTTTTCAGGCAATTGCAGACTTCTCACACTCAGCCCAGTCCTTTATGGACTGGATTGATGCAGTTTCTTCAAATCATTAAAACCCTAATAAACTTTATGACCCACCACCATAAATCATGTAGTTCCAGCAGGTTTTGGCTCATTTCGACAGTGAAATTCCTATGAAGTGCTTTCACTTCTGCTTGGATAAACACAGAAGCAGCAGAGTGTTGTGAGTCACACCCAGCCCATGTGAGGTGGCAGAGCCACATCCAGGGCCAGCTGGGGACTGAGCCAATGCCCCTCTGCTGCTGAGCTCTGCAGGCATCGACCCATAAGGACAATTTTCCCTGTTTCCATTCTGAGTGAAACACTAGTTGAGTCTTAACACATCATTACCTCCAGGTCAATCATGTCACGTGGAAAAGGCACCTCTGGGTTTTCACCAGTGTCCATGATAGGAATATTAGCTTTTTTAATCTCCTTCTCCACAAACCCTGGGGAGACAGCATTTGACAGTGTTAACCACAGACAGTCCAGTGTCACCCCAACCTGCACCTGGCCCCATCAGCAGCTGAGAGTCCTTTCACCTCCTATTCCAAGACTGTCTGACTTGGTCAGAGTTACCTTTCCAGGAGGTGAATCGCGTGCCCTCACCCCTCTCTGCTCTGTTCCTAACGCTGCTCTGCAGCTTCTGCATGCCTTGATTGGCTTATCAGCAAAAACTGCAGACTCAGAGCCCCATCAGCCCCGGGGGGAACGTACGGAGCTTGCGGTCCATCTCCTCACACCTCCGGACCTCATTGACGAATTTTCGGTGGAACACGTTCACATCAGGGTTCAGCTGCGGGGAGAGACGCGGGGTCAGCGTCCCCCCCGCCGCCCGGGGGGGTTCTGCGCTGCGGACACGGGGGCGGGGGCGGGTGGGACTCCCGATCCCGCGGGGCTCCCGGGGGGTCCCGATCCCCCCCGTCCGCCCGGGTCCGCGGGGACACTCACGTCGCGGAACTGGACTTTGCCCAGCTCGCCCAGCTCGCTGACACAGCAGTACGCGGCCTCGGACTGCAGGAACAGCTGGGCCAGGGTCATCTCCTCGCTGCGGAACAGCTCCCCCATGGCGGCACCGCTCCCGCCGCGGCCTCTGCGGACAACGGCCGTGAGAACCGGGCCGGGGGCATAGACCGGGGCCTCCCCGCCGACCCGTCACGGCCCGGCGGTCCCCAAACCGCCCCTTCCCGTTCCCGTTCCCCGCTCCCGCCCCCCGTTCCCGGTACCCGCCGCCGCCGCCGCTCCCGCTGCCCCGCGCCGGGACCCGCCCGTGACGTCACCACCTGCGCGCCGCGGCGTCACGCGCACGTCTCCTGGCGACGGCGCGCGGGGGGGACCCGCCCCGGAAGTGACGAATGAGGGGCGGGAGGGGGCGGGTTCGGGCTACAACAGCGGTGACGTCAGTATCTTATTATGTGACGTCATATGTGATATAGTGGCGTCCCGTGTCTATCGGTGACGCCACCGGGAGCGCGCACGAGGCCGCGGCCTGGCCTCTCCTCTCTCCCTCCGCGAGGCCCCGGGAGAGGCCCCGGGCAGGGACAGCGAGGGCAAGGAGCAGCCCCAGGGCCCTCTGGGGTATACGGGGAGCAGCTGGGGCTGCTCTGCTGGAACATATCGACCCCGAGCAGAGGCTCCAGAGCTCAGGCTGCAGATTCCCGCCTGTTGGCTGCTCCTGGCATGTCTCTGTGGCAGAAGAGGGCTGAAGTGGGGTTAATCCAAACATAAGAAATGACTGCCAGTGCCCCAGCCCAGGGTGATCACTGTGGGCACGGGGGGCACCGTGAGGGGCACTTCTTGCTGAGCCCCAGAAACAGAAGTAAATCCCTGCCCTGTCACTTTATCTAGTTCTATCCAGACTGACCTATTCGGGCAGATTTTTAATTATTCCCAAATGGAGACCCAAAGGCACAGAGATATGCTGGAATCACACGTGGATGGCAGGCCCAGGAGGAGCTGTGCTCCACAGGCACCCTGTCCTGTACCTGAAGCCCCATGCAGGTGCCTGTGGAAGCCCACCCTGGAGCACACCCAGGGACAAAGAGCCGCTGGCTGCCAGCACTGAGGGTGTTCTCATGGAGCTGACTCATAAGCAGCAAACACTGGAAATAAATGCTCTGGAAAAAGGTCCCTTCAGGAAAGAACAGGGCATAAAAAGTAGCCTATTTTTCCTAGGTGGCATAATGGCTATTGTGGGGGCACAGAACACAATTCCCTGATTCCAGAGCCGCCAGGCCCGGGTCAGTGGGGAGGGTGAGCAGTCACAGGGCAGGGAAAATGCTGACTGCCATAAGCATTCATGGTGAACAATGTCCCTCTATGAGATGCCCTGGGTTTCCCAGCCTGTGTGTCAGGATGGGTCATTTGTCCCAGCCTGCCTTGGGCATTCCTGGTATTTGCCAGCTGATCCGGGAGGAGCCCGGAGCTCTCAGGCATACCTGGTACTTGCCAGCTGGTGGCAAAGGGCAAGGGCGGCCTTGGCCCCTCGAGAGGCAGGAGGTTTGGAGGATGAATTACTTTTGTCAAGGCTACAGGATGAGGGAAGCTGCCACCTTCCCAGTGTGCCCACAGACCTTACCAGTGAGCCTCCAGCCCAGCAGCAGAGTGCAGGCCAGTGGAGGCTCTATGGCAGCACTGTACGTGGGAGCTGGGTTCCCTCTGGTTGAGCCTACTCCAGGGACAGTGAAGGGTCTGGCCCAGAGTCACTCCCAGAATCTGAATTTTCCTTCTCCGCATTCTTGGCGTGTTCCTGCTGGGTTGTTGCACAGCCTGGGGTGGCACCTACCATGTGTCTCCTTGTTCTGAATCAATTAGGGTTTTTACCACTAAAGCCACGAGTAACCCACTGTATTTGGGCTTTGCTTTCAAGCACAGCTTTGCATGGCATGCGCTGCAATGGGTCCCACATTTAAAGTCCAGTGACTGTGTCTGTCGATGGCTTGAGGATTGCAGAGCTGAGAGAGTTCCTCTGGGGAGATTGCCCAGCTGCCTCCCTTCTGGACTGCATTATCCTTCTCCTGTGCTAAACCTGTGTGGAGACGTGGTGCACTTTGCATGCACTGTGTACACCCATCGTACATTCACAGTTGGGGGGGGTATTGTTATGATCCAGATGTTTTTGTGCCAGAACTACTGAATCCAAATTGTAGCATTTCTTTAAAATATTGAAAATCATGCTTTCATAGTCCTGGGGAAAAAAGCCCCAAGCCTTACTATTGGCAACAGGTCTGCATTTTCCAGCTGAACTTCAGCGCATGCAGTTGTTTAAATCAGCCTTCAATGCACACAGCTGTGCCCAGATGGGGCTGCTCGCTTCCCACTCTTCCCAGCAGCTTCCCGAGCCATTTACTTGAGGATTTTGTTTTTTCCTCTTGTTACTTACAGCGCCTTTAGACTGAGGGGCGGCAGCAGTTCCAAAGCTTTGCATTCCTGGCTGAGCCGTGCCTGTGTTTGCATGCAGAGCCATCGCCTCCCCTCCAACTATTTTAATCATTTCAAAAGGGTGGGTCAGCAGGCATTTGGCAGCGGCTTCTTTTCTATAGCTGAGGTGGAGTCAGCCAATGACCTGCAAGCCTGGAAAATTTTGCAGGGCAGTTCCACTGGACGGCTGTGCGGAGCTGTGCCATTTGAATTTCAGCACAGACACTCACTCACTGCGCTCCCCATTCCTGGCGCGTCTCCCAGCGCGGAGTTTAGCTGAGGCTCGGGCTCAGTTTTCCCTGCTCTCTCCCTGCAGTGACAGCTTCTCCGGGCTCTGTGAGCCAGGACTCCCGAGCGACCATGGAGGACACCACCTTGCAAATCATCGAGCCACCCACTGTCTCCGAGACCTCGGAGGAGCAGGCGCCCGAGGAGCCCATCAAATCGGACCAGATCAACGGCGTGATGGTGCTGACCCTGCTGGACAAGATCATTGGAGCGGTGGATCAGATCCAGCTGACCCAAACACAGCTGGAGGAGAGACAGCAAGAGATGGATAGCGCAGTGACCAGCATCCAGGGAGAGCTGACCAAGCTGACCAAGGCCCACACCACCACCAGCAACACTGTCAACAAGATGCTGGAGAAGGTGCGCAAGGTGAGCGTCAACGTGAAGACGGTGCGGCAGAACCTGGAGAAGCAAGCCGGGCAGATCAAGAAGTTGGAGGCCAATGAAGCGGAGCTCCTGAAACGCAGGAACTTCAAAGTCATGATCTACCAGGTAAGGAACTGTTTCACAATGTCTTTGCATCCTGTTAGCGGCTGTTTTCTTCGCTGAGGGTCCTGTCATGCTGCATGGCCGGTCCAGTCCTCTCCCAAACTCCCTGCACTGTCTGGCAGTTCAGGCTGAGGCGGGTCCCCCCGTAGCTTTCTCATTTGTGGTTTAACATTTTCTGTGTGTCCTAAGACAAAGCTTGACAGAGTTGTCCCACTTAACAGGAATTTTAATGCAGATAGGAAGCAAGGCCCTAAGCACTCACTGCAATGGGCCAGAAGGATCAAAATAACCCGATTTTACTGCTTAGCTCAACGAAGTACAAGTGTGTTCTGGGATCTGGAAGGGGGTTTTGTAAATCCATCTGCAACGTCTCTTCTACCAAGAGACACCATGTGCATGGCTACGTGGAGAGCGATAGCATTTCAGATGTGTGACATGCATCTGATAACAACAAGTGACAGTAACCCTGGCTCGGGGTTAATCCCACCCGCCGGGGCAGATAGAGCTGTCAGAGAAAATCCAGACCGGTCCCCTGAGCTCGGCAGCACTCAGGGTGGACTTTGCCGTGGGTTTGTACAATTCCCACCTTCTTCCTGCTGCATCCTGCAAGCCTTGATCCTTCTCGTTGTCTGGTTTCAGTAACAGCTTTGGTTTGCTTGATGTTCTCCCCCCCCCATGCTAAGCGTTGGAGTTTTCCTTTTATATTAAACAAGGAGAGAGAGAGGAGCATGGTTCTGTCAGGTTTCCTGCCTGCAGTTAGTTTTCCGTGTCAGAGCAAACTCTTCTATTGGGCCACAGGAGAAAAGTGAGTGAAACAGTTAATGATTCAGTTGGAAGCCTCTGAGTTAATAATAGCCAGCGCCAGGGACAAATAGAGAAGCATCGAATGCTGATCATGGGAAGAGAGAGAAAAAAAGCGAAATAAAAGGGAGAATGGTCGTTGCAATGGGGTTTGAGGGAGAGCAGCTCATGGCAGACTCAGTGATCAGAGATATACAGGGCTTGTGCGACTCCCTGGTTCAGAGCTTGAGCATTTGTAGTTTTATTGTGGCTGAAAGGCTGAAATACTCAAGCCTGTTTAGATCATACAGGAAACCTGACCAGTTATAGACAGATACACATGTGTGTATTTATTACAAGCTCTTTGTATCAATCTATCTATGGAAAAATAAGATAGAACTTTAAATGTACTGCAGAAGCAAAACCATTGCAAAATGAGAGGAGGGAAGGGAATTGTTTAACATTCCGTGTGGGTTACGGAGATAGGTGGGAAGTTAGCAGAGTTCAAGGTCCTCGGGAAGCATCGCGAACATCGACAGGTTGGCTTTTGGTGAGCTGCTTGTGTTGGTTTGCACTGGCTTATGGATATTGAGCAGAGTTTCTCTTTGAATATGAAAAACCATCCTGCTTCTGAAGGCTCAGGGCCTGCCCTTGCTGCTGTGCTGAGGACAGAGCAGCCTTGGAGCGAGTCGGTTGGCAAGGGACTGCGGCAGGGACTTGGTAATCATGGAGATTATAGTGAAAAAAGTTATTTGTAATTTGGAACAGTTTCCCAGAATGGAACGTAGTGTGATTTGAATGTGAGGTCGCAGAGCACAAGTAAGGAATTCTCCCGGTTTACTCCATGTGAAATGGAGCCGTTTGTGCCCTCGTGAACATCCTGGTACTTCTGCAGGAGCAGACTCGGTCCCAGCAGGACAGGACCCGGCACTGGGATCCACCCTGGGAGGTTAAATGAGGAATACACTGTGCTTTCCTAATGGTGTCTATGGCTAAAAACAAATAATTACAACATAATTCTCTTCTAATTCAGTGTTTCACTTCTCAGACCCCCCACTCACCCATCAAAGTGTCTGTTGGGTACGTTACTGGTCATGTAATTAATTCTGCGGTGCTGAGCACATTATTGCTCCTCTCTGACTCAGGGAAAGCTGCTGCGCCACGCTGGGAGTGACTCCTGTGTGTTTTCCATTGCTGTAGCTAAAAGTGCAAGGATTTATTAGCCTTTTCTTTTGGAGAAGAAGAGAGAAACTCATTTTAAGAGAAGTAAAATATTCCATAATCCCAGCGGTGGCTG